AGCCAAGAAAACTATTCTGCGCGAGATGTTGTGCGGCTATTGCGCGGGCGCGCACCCTTGGCTGTGCGGGCGCACAGGCCTGTCTGAACCCGCGCAGCCAGGCTGAAGAAACAGAGCCAAACCAAAGAGTTTGCACGACCTATTGAGCAGCTTCTGTGCGGGCGCGCTACCTGCTTCGCGGGCGCGCAAGTTTACACTGTGGGCGTGCTTGATTTCCCTGTACCCTCAAAGTGGCGGCCATGCACAATGCTGAGAGGGCTCACACTTCTACTGCGCGGGCGCGCATATGTCGTGTGCGGGCGCGCACCGCTCGGTTTCTGATTTCTTTGCGCCTTGTTGCCCAAGTTTCTTTCTTTTGGGGGAGCCACATATATATAGACGGGACTCTTTGTAATAGAGGACACTTAGTACTAATTCCATAGAACATTAGTCTAATCTAGAGAGAGAAATTAGATTGTTATTCAAGTATCCTTTATTGTATTCAACTTTGCTCAAGTTTTAATCTTCAATCAATCAAGCAAGAATCCAAGTTATCATCTTTCATTAATCCTTTCTTTAGTAATATCTTCTCCTATCCTTTAGTATTATTTATTTGTTTTTATTGTTGCTTATTCTTGTTAATCTTATTAGTTCATCTAGTTATTATTGATTTCATTGATTTTAATCATGTTTTGTTTTGAGTTTCTTGAGTTTATATCTAGTTTTGATATTATGTTTAATCTCCCTTCTCTAGGCTAAACTTTTAGCTAGGGGAAGGGGGTGGAAGATATGAGTTGATATTGGATTAATGATGATGGTTGGATTGAACTTATGCCATAAATTGATGAATGACATGATTTTTAATACCTTAAGATTATTGTTGCACTCTATTTGATGTTTTCTAGTTTAAATGCATGAAAGTGATTTGAACTAGATTAAGATCATCTCTATTTTAATGATTGCATGAGCATGAGTTAACTAATAGGATGCATGAGAATGATCCTTACTAGTGTAGACCTCTTTCATTGATTTGCCTAGACTATTACATGAGAATGAATTGTTTAGGTGGAATCTTGTGTTCTTTGGCATGTGTTTCATGATCACCATTATTCCCCACTTACTTATCATATTCGACACCCCCGTATCCCTAGCGTCATTTTCCCTTTATTTTAATCATCATTTTTTTGCTTATTTGTAGTTTTAGTGTTCTTACTCAACAAAACCAACAAAAACAATCCCCTTTTCACTCTTTTATTAGTGATTATTGATGTTGAATTAGTGTGCTTCCCTAGTGGTTCGACCCTTTACTTGCCACTAACTAGTTTAGTGTAGGTTTAGGTATTATAAATGATTAATTTGATTAGGGTAGTAGCTTAACGACCTATCTAACCTTGGATCACCTACGCCCACTAAAACAAGGAAACAAATCAATTAAAAGCCTCGTCCAAGAATTCGATTTAAAAAAATAAGCCCAAATCAACAAATCCCAAATAGTTGAAGTAGGAGATGAAGATATCCGCCTGACTGGGCCAGGCCTTGCTCGATTGGTTCCGGTCAGTTAGATATGCGAACAAGGCCTTGTGTCTTCTTTTGCTTTTGGCAATTTCTTATTTGCTTCATAATTGGTCCGTAACGCTTGATTGGTCCATGATAATAATATTACATTAAAACTTTGGACCACTTTACTTAATCGAGCCCTTAATCACCGAACTAAATTTCTTTACTCGGTTTTGGGCTTAAAATATTGGTCATAAAATACAATCCAACTCTAATATCTTTTTAGTGACTCAATAACCTCGGGAATTATCATAACTTTGTCAAATTCCTATAAAACAATACCAACTATACAAAAACACTAGAAATTGTATATTAGTTCTAAAAATAGCTCTGCAAAGCTCAAATAAGCACAAATATCACCGTGGGACAGAGAATAAATATATGCATAAAATAGACTCATCAATAAGGCATCTTCCAATAGTTGAGAAAATCATTAAGTTCGTAATTCTCTAGTCTTTCTCGGTCTAGCCCATACTAAGATATGGGGTAAGGGCCTTTCGGGTCGGGTCTCGAGGGTGTGAGACTTTGGAGGCTTGTGCATTTGCGGGGCTCGACGCTTTTAAGTCCGAGCTCTAAGAAAGAGCGAAGAACATATCAAGGGTAATTTTGTGATTCCTTTTTCTAGTTAATTAATTATGTTAGTAATTATGTTGTTAATGAATATGCATGTTTTAGTTACATTAATTTATGTACGGGTCTTAGGGTTAGGTTTTAGTTCCACGTGGTGTTGACATTACGAAACCCAATACTTTTGGCCTTTTTGGTTTATTAACAAGTCGGTGAAGAAAGATGAGAGTCAAGCCTATGGAGCGGTTTGCATAGTCAAGATGTCGAGTACCCTTAAAAGTATCTTCTTTTCAGGATCCTTCAAGGAATCATTGAGATGCTCACTAGAGGTGGATTTGAAACTAGTAAGGAGAACACGGTAAGACTGTTTGGGATGATGGTGAATTGTATCTTATTAGATCTCTATGCTTAGCATATTTAATGTTTTAATCAACCTTGGATATCTTGGAATGTACATACCCTTATTTGTCTAGAAAGTTGTTTATTCACTTGTATTATTTGCAAAATTCCAAAAAGCCTTTGGTTTTACTTTTTCCCTTTTAATTTAATTTTCCTCTTATGATTTGCCTCATTTTAACTTTGAGAGTTATGAGTCAAACTCTTTGGATACCCTTACGAGACCTCACTTATCCTCATTGGTGATTTTAGGGATTAAAGGGCTTGTTATAGCTAAAAACAACCGTGATTCTTACAAAAGCGAGTCTTAGTGTACATTCTTATCCTTTTCTTATTTGAAATAAGTCTTTCATCCTCTCCCTACCTGCTTTTGTTTTTTCTAGAGAACGAACAAAGGTCTAGCTTAGGGAATTTGATGAGGGACATTAATGGAACTCATGTGGCTTCACATTAGATGATTTTTACTCATTTTTATAGCCTTCTTTATGTCTTTTTCTCTAGTTTTAACCTTGGAAAAGTGCCCGCAATAATCCGACCTTTTGCCCGTCCGCTGAAAATAATCCCACCTTTGGATTATTTTTTAATATTATTGGTCCCTATAGGTTACCTTACCTATTGTAGCCGGTTTTGGGATGACGTGGCTTCCAACGGTTATAATCCTATTAATTAATTTCCCTTTTTAAAATTTCCAACTCCTCAATTTTCATTTCTCTTCCTTCTTCGTTCTCTGTTCTAAAAAAAGCTCTCCCCTTTACAATTTGAATTTCATCTTCAAATTCAATTTCTTCTCAGCTAAATATGTCACAAATGGCTAGTAGGAGGCATAATGGTTCAAGTAGTTCTACGTCATCAAGAAATTTTGGCTTGGTTTCCCCAAAATTGAAGTGTAGGTGTGGTTTGGAAGCAATTACTCGTACAGTTAATAATGGTGAGAACGTGGGGTTGAAATTCCATGGATGCCCTAGATGGCCTGTAAGTTCAATGTGTTGTGCGAAATTATTTGTATTTGATTAATTAAGATAAATTAAGATAATTGGGCATTTGAAACTAGGGTTTTTATTCTAATTGAATTGGGGATTTAACATTTTTTTCAAGAGGGTGATTATGGCTTCTTTTAGCGGGTTAATGTTAACCTCAAAGATAATGATGACCTACGATTACAAGTGCTTGAAAGAGATACGCAAGTAGCTGAAAAAGAAATGGAGATTGATTTACTTAAAGAACAATTGAAGAGGGTTGAGAAGAAATTGGGAAATAAGGAGGATGAGTTGGATGACACAAAAATGGAGCTCTGCCACACTCGAATCGAATTGATGAAGGCTACAAGGAATGAAAATATTTTTTCCCTTGCTCTGTTTGTTTCATGGATTTTCTTTGCTTTCATGATAGTGATTTTAAAGACATGATTGTGATGTATTTAATGATTATAGGTAGTTTAAGTAAGTTAAGTTAGTTTAGTTTGGTTAAGTAATGCTTTTTGGTCATTTGAGTCATGTATTGAGCAAAGACCTAGTTGTTATGTAATGACCTATACATTGATGAGTTAATGATAGTTGTTTTGACAATTAATTGCACAATACTTGAATTTCTAACTGAAAGCATCATCATATAGCTGAATAAGTTTAACAAAAGAGGGTGAAACTGTTTCCCAGCCATACACAAAATAAACCTTGATAAGGTTCATGACTTAACAATGTATACTTGCTGTTGGACTTCACACAGCCAACATGATGAAAAGACAATATCCAAAAGTTTTTCATAAACATAGTTAAGTCTAATATAGTAGCCATAAAAGTGACATGAAACTATTCATTGACTTGATGTAAAGTGGAGGTTTGGCTTGATTGACTGCACTGAAACCAGGACATAGTTGATCTTGTCATTCTATGATTGCCAAGGGTCTGCAAACACATAGAGAACAGAGAGCTTCATTAGGTTTCAGTCTTATTAATATTGAACCATGTTATTTTAACAATGAACAACAACTCACATCAGTGTGGGCTGATCCATAAGGTGCAATGTACACAACTACACCTTGTGGAACCTACAGCAAACACATACAGTTCAGGCACATAAGCACAAAACATAAACAGGTTTAGGGTCTAATTGAGGTGTTTATAAGAAGAAAAAAGGACCTGGTTCCTTCCCCTGCCCCTTGAGCCACCCCTTGCCCTTCTTGATCCCCTTGTGCCACCTCCAGCACCCCTACTCCCATTTGCACCACCTCTGCTAGAAACTACAACACCTGAAACACCTCTCTCAGCAAGAGCCTCTCTACCAACAGCAGAGCCTCTCCCTGAAGCAGCCCCTCTCTCAGTAGCAACAGAACCTCTCCCAGCACCATCTCCTCTACCCCTTCCACCCCTAGAGCCTCTACCCATTGCTATCATTCTTCCTCCTCTACCAAGAATGGTAGGTTAAGCAGTTTGGTTGTAGTTACTTATATTTGGTTGTTGGGGTGCTGATGGCACAGCCTGACTACCTTGTGTAGGGGGTACATCCTAACTAGCTGTTGGGGGTTGAGTTGCTGGTGTAGCTTGAGCATCTTTGCGAGGCCTTCCTCTAGCCCTTTTTGGAGCAGGTTCAGCTGGCTGCACATTGTCCTTGTTGGGGAATTTTCTTTTATTATTCCCCTTAAGCTGGCAAAGTGAGAAAGTCATTTCAATCCATGTTCTTGTCATTGTACCAGATTTCTTAGGGTTCTCATGGGGGTCTTTGATAAGATTTTTCCTTGGCCTCCTTGGACCAATTTTGATTGGTGGTGGAGCAATACATTGGGACACTTTTGGCCAGTGTCTTTCACCTTGAATTGGTGGAATTAAGCCTGCCAGACACAAGTAACATGTTACAAGTCTGCATATAGGTTGTTTTAACTACAGAAATAGGGAAATGGATTAGTTGTTATACCTGCATAAACTGACATGTAAGTGTCCTTGAAATATGATGAATCTACATACAACTCAGGCTCTTTTTCCACAAAATAAATGCAGGCAACTGCATGACAGCATGGGATGCTAGTCATGTCACATTTTCTATAAGTGCAACTCCTATCATCTAAGTTCACCACTAACTGATCCAATATGTAACTAACATTGAAATGAATTTCAGAAGAACGATGCACTTCACACTCAGCAGCTTTTGTCTTTTCAAATTCCAACTTGGATTGAATTCTTGGACAGAGCACACCAGTAGCTTTAATCATGGCTTGCCTTTTGACTACCAACCTTTCCACCAAAGAAGTTCTGATATCTTCCAACATGTATGGCAAGTGTTTGGTCCATGCTTGAATGATAAAACCATTAAAGGTTTCTGCAATGTTGGAAGTTATTGCATCTGTTTTTATTGCAGGACCGAGGAAAGCTCTGCAAAAAAACTTTGGCATATGCAACTTGAAGTCATTGGCAGCATCCACATTGATTGATGCAAGCTTAGCCAGGTTCTCTTCATAATCAGCCTCATTGTAGCTCTTTGTAATACTCCAAAACAACAATTGCATCTCATCTCCTCTATATTTTTTGTGCCAGTGAGCAAATATATGTCTAGCACAGTGTCTATGTTCTGCCCTAGGTAGGATAGTTGAGACACTACTCACAATACTCTGAATTTAAGCAAAAAAAAAAAAAAAAAAAAAAAAAAAAAAAAAAAATAAAAAAAAAACACATGAGCAAGTAAATCATCATAAATCAAACCATATAAACACTATGCCAAATAATTTGTTTAAAGTTAAGGCACATACCACATGCTCATCAGAAATGATTGAGATGCCTTCCCCTTCTCCATGACTAAGGAAATTTGCTAGCTTCCTAAGAACTATTCCCAAGAGGAGTTATTCTCTCCTTAAACAACTGCCCAACAGACAGGGAACATTTGGTCATTGTTGTCCCTTCCCACAGCAGCCAACAAATGACCCCCTAAAAAAGTCTTCAGGAAGCATGCATCTACTTCCAAGTAGGGATGGCAACGGGTCGGATTTGGATCGGATGGACCTTCACCCGCATCCATCCGCACCCGCCATCCGCTCCATCCGCTCCACCCACCACCCGCTTACCCCATCATCCATATCCGATCCACCCTTCATCCGCGGGTGAAACGGGTGGATCGGATGCTAAATGGATGAAAGCTATTAAACTTGCAATGAAATTATAATTTACCGAAATCCTAATTTATTGTCGAAAAACAAAAGCACTACAACCTTCAATAAATGTATAATATTACAGTAGTACACCAACTAGGTGTCAAATTACTCAAATATGTCAATAACATAAAAATGAACTAATGACTAGAACACAATTACAGTAGCAAATTAGAAATGAACTTGCAATGAGCCAAAGAGGTGAGATTTGTCATCAAGTCCCTTTTTTTCTTCAAATATCCATGAAATCGTCATCATCCTACAAGAGTACAAAAAATATAACCTCACCAACTTTTTTAATTATCTTTTATTATTTACAATGCTATACAAATTTAAAATTAGGCATAAAAGTTGAAGTTTTTAGATCTAAAGTTGAAAACATCATAAATTTTAATACAAAAGAAAAAATAAAACAAATTTCAGAGCTACTACTTATTTGAAAATTTTGAATGCAATTATGTACAAATTAAATACATATAAAAAAACTAACAATCTTTAATAAAAAAAATGGTTAAATCGAAACACACAAACATAGAATCGATTCTTGGATTATAGATTTATAGATGGTGTGTCAAAAGAACAAATTAAAATAGGGAAATTAAAAAAAAAAGGTATAAAATTATACCTTAATCGCTGGACGTCGTAGGTGACTAAGGTGAGATGGAGTCGCAGGTGGAGGTGGAGTCGCCGGTGAGGGTAGAGTCGCCGCCGGTGAAGGTGGAGCCTAAAGAATGAAAGTTAGAGAGGGAGTAGACTATAGAGAGAGATTGAAAATGAAAGAAGGTGGCTGTTTGAAATTTAGATTAGGGTTTATTTAATTTCAGGGCATATTTTTTTTATTATTATAAAAATTAAACGGGTGGATGATAAACGGGTGACGGATCGGGTGACGGATGACTAAAAGTTCCACCCGAATCCGACCCGATCCGTCATCCGTTTCATCCACCACCCGCCTTTCATCCGTATAAGTCGGATTTTCATCCATTTAATTAGAGCGGGTGGAGCGGATTACTGGATATCCATATAAAATTGTCATCCTTACTGCCAAGACCTTCCTACAACCTTCCATCCACCCATTCTTTAAACCCTCAAAACAAATGAATAACCTTTGGAATACAGCTCTCTTCCCTATCATATCAATGCTCCTCGTGCACTCCACTTAATGCTCTTAATAAAAACGGGACATTGCAGTTTCTGAACTCCATATTTATGGGTTCAACACAAGAAATCACGCCCCCACGGCTCGAATGCAAAGTTTAAGGACTTTAGGAACTTGCACTTCTCCATGCTTGAGCTTCTGATGGAGAACATTAAACATCCTAATCAATGCCAAACTTGGGAAGAGGCCTCGGGAAACTTGGATAATGACCTTAACTTGAAAAATAAAGGAAAACAAGCAAATAAAAGAGAAAATAACCAAATAAACCAAGAAATGCATAAAGAAAAGAAATACAACTAATAAAATGCAAACAAAAAGAAATAAGGAGTAAAATAAAGAAAAAGCAAAGTAAAAAAGCTATATAATAACATGAAATTCACCTTAAAAAGAACCAAATGAGTGCCATAAATGACACTCATCAAATTCCCCCAAGATAAACTTTTTCTCGTCCTCGAGAAAAAACAAAGCAAGAAAGAATAAGGATGAAAGACTTATTCAAAAAGAAAAAGAAAGATATAAGAATCACGGTTTTTTTTAGTTACAACAAGCCCTTTAAACCCTAAAGTCGCCTATGAGGACAAGTGAGGTCTCGTAAAGGTTTCCTAAGAGCTTAACCTATAACTCTCCACCAACATACATGTGGCAAACCACAAAAAGGAAAGTAAAAGAAAAAAAAAAACAAAATTGAAACCTTTACGAATTGGACTTTACAAAATGACCACATTTCAAATGAATAAACATCTTTCTTAAGCAAATAGGGGTATGCACGTTTCAAGATATCTGAGGTTGATTGAAACATAGAGTATGCTAAGCATAGAGAACTAGTTATCACAATTCACCTTCATCCCGTTTGATCTTACCGCGTTCCTCCTATAATATGAAATATCCCTCTAATGAGCATCTCAATAGCTCCTCGAAGGAGCCGGAAAAGAACGCATATTTCGGCTACATGACGTCTTGACTAAACATCCCCTCTCTTTAGGCATTAACTCATAATGCCTTCTCTCGAAATTTGACTCAACCTCTAGGTCGTAAGGTCTTTCCCAATGGTTGTAACGTAAGGTAAAAAGGTTAGGGGTAGGCTAAAATTTTGTTGCACACCTAGGTAATGAAGCAAAGATTGGCCAAACCTCGACACCAAAACCAAGAAGTCACCAAACAAAAACAAACTAACACCCCCAAGCTTATTCAAAGCTATATCCAATAGCATATATACAAAAAGCGTAAACGCTTCTCCCCCAAGCTATAAGGAAGCATTGTCCTCAATGGTTGAAGAGGAAAAGAGTCACATCAAATTATTTTTGGAATTTTCTCATTTTTAACTATCTTTCTTTTTTTTGTAATATTTTTTCATTTCTGTGAAAGTAATTGTCCATGCCTTTTTAATTTAAGACAACTTTTACAATTATGCATTTATTAAGTCCTTGCCTTTTTTACTTAGGACGGCTTTTACAATTAATCACTTGCCATTATTCACACAATTATACACAAAACATAAGCTTGCTTACAAAAGGAACCGATATTCATACTTATATACCACAAACTCCAAAAACATGGTCATTTACTTCACAAAAACCAAAAATGGAACAAAAAGAAACAAAAAGGCTCAAAGTTCTAAAGATGTGGCTTGAAAAGAAGGGAAAAGGCACAAATGGTTAGCAAGAAGGCAAATGAAACCCAATGAACTAAAAGAACAAAATTATCCTAGAAAAGAAAAATTACCACCCCGAAAAGATGCCTTTGTCATCCCTAGATGGTTCAGTCTCGTGTTTGAGAATTATAAGTCAAGATTTAGATTAGGTTCGCAATAGTCAAGGATCCATGCCACTCATGCAAAAATACGTAGAAGGCTTGAAAAATGATGAATCTCACATGGATGTAGCAAAAACTCATTATAGGTGTCAAATCGATCATAGGAAGCAACTACCAACATGCCACAAACAAGTAGAATTCGGTTTCATGATCCTCCTAATTCTAAAATATGCTACCTTAGCATACACCTATCGTAGAATCAACCAAGCATATTCTCAAACCGTGCATACCCATACCATTGAGGAAGATGTACATTCAAAAGCAAAAATCGGGTGTATATAGTCCAATTCAGAAGAAAAACAAAAGGTTAAAAATAAAGCCTCAAAACATACCAAAAACCAATAACAAGAAGAAAGAAAAATAAAAGATATGAAAGGAGAAAAAGAAAAACATAGATAAAGAAAAAGAAGGAAAATAAAGAATGGAACAAATATGCAAGTTAAACATGTAATTCCCAATCAACAAACAAGTTATCAAATGACAACATCGCCAATGATCCCATACACTCTAGGTGTTAAAAGCATCCATCCTCAAACCATTCAACTTTTCCTAAAACTAATCCTAAACTATGCATCCAAGAAAATAAAAGAGAATAATAAAAATAAGAAAGATCTCACCGTGTATTCCAAGCAATGCAAAAGAGTAAGAAATAAAGCAAACGCAAACCGTCAGGATACTCCAAGAGCAAATGCAAGGATAACATACCAAGAGAAAAAATAAAGCTTTATACAAAAACAAAATTGTTACTAACTTTCATACAAAATCACACAGCATCATAGGTGACAGAAATGGTCAGAGAAGCAAAGACAGAGAATCATATATCAAAGAGAAAAATCGGCCAATTAGAGATCAATCAATCATCAGGAAGACATAAATCAAGAACTAGATCATCAATATATCATCAGCAACAAAACCTATCAAACAGATTACAAAAACAAGAAGCATCAGAAGAATACTATCGTAGGGAACAGACAACAGCATAAATCATCATCACAGAAAAACACCAGGTGTGAGATATAGCCAAAGTGAACCATAAAAGCAAAGGGGAGACAAAAGAAGCCCATTAGACATAAGAATATTCCCCCAAGCTAAAAATGAGCTACCCCCCCCCCCCCCAAGATAAAACCAAGTTACAAGCTGGGAAAAAAACAAAAGAAAAACACAAAAGAATAAAAGGGAGGGTAGCTAATATGGTATTACTCGGCATTATGCTAAGGGGTAGAATGAGTACTCCCCTCACCAACATTAGAAGAAACTTGGCTAGAAACATCATCCATGAGCATAGGGCTATATTCCTAGCAAAAAGGTGGCACCAATCAGTTTCTAAACCCCAAGAATGTGGGTTTATCACTAGATTTTCATGAACCCACAAAACTTCAATTTTTTAAGCATA